GGCCGGGGCCGCGCGGCCGCTCCGCCGCCCTCTTCCTCCGCGACTCCCGCGGCTTTCTCCGCGTCGCCCCCGCCTCCGAGCGTCCGGACCGCGCTCGCTCCCTCGCTCGCTCTTCCACTCCGGGTCCTCCCGCCTGGCCCCCGCCCGGCCTCGTCTTCCCGGCAGCTGCTCCGGCGTCTCGCCGCCGCCATCTGGCAGCTGGGTTCCCGGCGTCAGGGAACCCCGCGGGAAGGTGCGGGAAGGTGCGGGAGGAGCGGCGCTCGCCCGCGGCCAGTGCCAGGGACGCCGCTGCCGGTTCGGACGGCCTCGCGCCGCCCGGAGAGCCCGGCCGGGTGTCGCGGGGACGGTCAGGGCTGTGACAGCCCCGGCGCTACTTAATTTCGATGAGTGGGTTGATGTTTGTTTTGGGGTCCCACATAAGTGGGAGACGCGGGGCAGACTCCGATGCTAGTGAAGGATGAGTCCCCGCACCGCAGCGACCTCCCCGTGAAGCCCTCGCGCGCGCGCGAGCGACCCGGACCTCGGAGGGGGAAAGGGGGCGCGGTGGGGGGCCGGGAGGAGAAGGGGTGCCGGGGACGGGGGGGGGGATAGGGAGGGGAGGACGGACAGGGGCGGCGGGGACCCGAGATTCTGAACCGATCCCGTTGGTGCGGCGAGCCGGTTACCTCTGCGCGGCCACATTGGCGTCCACGACCCCGACGTTCCGGACCCAGGACCTGACCGAATCCATCTCGGCGCCCAGAGCTTTCTCCTTCAGAGCCGGGCCTCTTCCTAAAGTATCTTGAATCCCAAACATTTAAAAAGTCTGATCTTTTTTTTTTCTGTCGCCTTCTTCGGAAAAAATTAAAAAGTAATAATAATAATAATGAGTTCACCACCACACCCGGCCTGCCTCGAATCTCCAACGGCGCCCAGGAAAACCGTCTTCTCCAAAAAGCAATCCGAGAAAGGGAATCAAGTGCCCAAGTTTGGATCTCGCGTGCAAGTAAGAAAAAAATGTTTTTTTAAAAAATGGAAGAAAGAAAAAAAATTAAAAAGGAGGCGGAGGAGGAGGAGGAGGAAGAGGAGGACAGCAAAGCGGCGCCTGGCTGCACGCGCCAGGCGC